ATGGCCAAATTAAGGTTAAGTGTCCGAATCACACTCGCACCGCTCTGTTTTCCAGCCCAGATCAGGAAGTCCAAGATGCTGGTACAGTTCATTTGCTGCCGGATGAGGATGATCTGCTGGGTGAAGCATGTTTCTGCTCACCCCCTCCACCTGTAGACTCTGGTCGGTTGCCCCCCGCTAATCCCAGCGCCGCCATGGGACCAGCACCGGAGTACACCGTCGCTGGGTACGTGAATGGTACCCACGTCCCGAGCATCGTTGTTGATACCGCGTGTGGCCGCACCATGGTACACAGGACCTTGGTCCGGGACCAAGATTTGTCTGGTGAGACTACCTCCATTCGTTGTGCCCACGGTGATGTGGCCAGTTACCCCATGGCCGATCTGACCATCACCATCGACGGCATGGTGTACTATGTCAAGGCAGCAGTGTCCGAGCACCTGCCCCGTCACGTGTTGCTTGGCCGTGATGTGCCCCACACACATGAGTTGGTCCGGCTGTGTCAGCCAGCCGCCACGGACGTCTTGGTCTCTACGCGTGCACAGGCCAAGGCTTCACCTGAGTCGACTGCTGGTTTGCACAACATCTTCCCGTTCGAGGATGAACTATTTGAGGAGTTGGCCTCGAATGCAGCTTCTTTGCGTGCACCGCCGGCGGACCTACCTAGCACACCGGAGGTGACACCGCCACCTATCTCTGCACCCGATTTGCCAGATGCCACCCGTTTCGCCGACGAGCAACGGCGTGACCCATCTCTTAGCCCATGTTGGGACTATGCTACTGGCCGACACAAGACGCCCGTCAATGGCAGTACCTTCTGTGTTCGCCAGGGCCTCCTCTACCGGGAATACTCACCGGATGGTGAAGCGGGGATGGACACCACCAGCCCCTACTACCGCCTTCAGTTGGTTCTGCCCACGGAACGGAGATCCACCATTCTGCACCTCGGCCACACCGTCCCCATGGCTGGCCACATGGGACAGGCGAAGACATCCCAGAGGATTCTTCTCCGTTTCTGGTGGCCGACGATTCTTCAAGATGTCGCACAGTATTGTTCCGCCTGTGAACCATGTCAGCGCACCGCCCGTGTTCTGCGTCATGATCGGGCACCACTTATTCCTCTTCCTATTATTGGCGAGCCCTTCCGGGTGGTAGCTATTGACATTATCGGCCCCTTGCAGCGTACGCAGTCCGGCAAGAAGTACATCCTCACCTTGGTGGATTATGCAACCCGCTATCCGGAGGCAGCCGCTCTTTCCAATATTGAGTCGATTACCGTGGCTGATGCGTTGATCTCCATCTTTTCCAGAGTAGGACTGCCAGACAAAATCCTCTCCGACCAAGGCTCCAACTTTACATCGGACGTCCTCCGACAAGTTGCTGCTTTACTCCGTATCCAGCTTACCACATCCACTCCGTACCATCAACAGACCAATGGCCTCGTCGAACGGTTCAATGGTACCCTCAAGGGTATGCTTCGTCGGTTTGCTGCTGATGCGCCATGAAGTTGGGACGAGGTGCTCCCATATGCTTTATTTGCTTATCGAGAGGTGCCTCAAGCCAGCACTGGTTTCTCACCATTTGAGCTCCTGTACGGCCGCCATGTCCGCGGCCCGCTGGATCTCGTGCGCGATGCTTGGGCTCAGCCAACGGAGGAGCTCCGGACCACTACTGCCCAGTTCGTCCTCACCATGCGGGACCGGCTTGAACGCATATCGACTGAGGCTGGCTCCCACCTTGCCACCGCGCAGCAACGGCAGAAGGCCTACTATGACCGCCTGAGTCGGGAACGCACACATTTGCTCCGGGAGACGAGGTACTGCTCTTGCTTCCGGCTCCGGCTCGCAAAATGGAAGCCGTGTGGCAAGGCCCTTACCCTATTCGGCGTAAGGTCGACAAGGTCAATTATGAGATTGACATGGGACCCCACCGCACGAAGCGATATCGGGTTTTCCACATCAACCTCCTGCGGCGGTTTCGCCGGCCCCAGCTCTCGGCCTTCACCGTTCCTATGGCGGAGGACGACCCAGACACGGAGCTGCTGCTTGACGACTGCTCCCCTCTACACGTTGATGGTGGCCGTCCTACCATTAACCCCGACCTTTCGCCGGACCAGCGGCAACAGCTCGACATGCTGCTATCGGAGTTTGAGGATACCCTCTCACCCCAGCCTGGCCAGACGACCGTGGTGGCTCACTCCATCCACACTGGCGACGCCACACCCATTCGTTCCCGGCCATATCGTCTTGCCGCTGCGCACCATTCTGTTGTCCGCGATGACGTCGACGAAATGCTGGACATGGGCGTCATACGCACATCCCGCAGTCCGTGGTCTTCACCCGTTGTGCTTGTGCCGAAGAAGGACGACTCGATCCGCTTCTGTGTCGACTACCGTGCCCTCAAGGCCCCGGTCACACATGTACCTTTTTTGGCGGTTCCGCCAAAGCGTAACTTACGCTTAGGCAACGGCGGAGGCGTAAGTTACGCTTTGGCGGAAAGTTTGGATTTCGCTACGCCAAAAAAATGCGAGCGGACCCTCCGCTTTCGCGGATCCGCTTTGGCGGAACCTGCATGGTGATGGCTTTGGTCTTTGGAGTTTGGTGTGCTACTTCTGCACTGAGTTCTGGTGTTGTTTGGCTGCCGTTTGGTATTCAGTTTTCAAAATTATTGGTACCCAGCATGAACTGTACGTTCTGGAGGTCTCACAAGCAATACAGCATCGGTATGAGTGGATAGTTGGTGAGGGAATAACTCCGAATCCGTCTCCCAACGAGTCATTGGCCCCGATCGCGGACGATCTCCATCTCTCTCCTTCTCTCTCCAAGCAATACGTCCACCAGAGTATGCAACACTAGGACTGCAACCAGGGAGTAGTAGAGTACTCTGCCACACCCTCACTGCAGCTGCAGGCATCCACGCAGTCGCTGGGTCGATGATGGATCATGGAGGAGGCAACGACACCCTGCTATAAAACTATTTGAATTTGATATTGATGTAAACTAAACTAATATTCAAATACACCTGTGCTGGGCCGCAGTGAATGTGCCCCAAATCCACGAGTGTACTTGACATGAGACATTCAGCAGCCTGTCAGCGATCCACGATAGCTCTACTTGTACAAGCGAAGGTCGCTTCAACTCGGACAAGAAGAAGGCAACGACACCCTGCTATACAACTATTTGAATTAAATATATTTTTTGATATTGATGTAAACCAAACTAGCAAAATTCAAATACACCTGTACTGGGCCGCATTGAATGCGCCCCAAATCCAGGAGTGTACTTGACAGGAGACATTCAGCAGCCTGTCAGCGATCCACGATAGCTCTACTTGTACAAGCGAAGGTCGCTTCAACTCGGACAAGAACATCTAAAATTTTATAGGACGTGCTGCATTTGCATTCCCTCCGCCAAAGCGGAGCGTTGAGGAGCACAGTAGTCTACATGTATGTGTGACCGCTGCATCGTGTGGCCCGCCAAAGCGGCTGCGGTAGTTCCGCTTTCCGCCTCCGCAAAAGCGGTGCAAGCTTTTCATATGTGACCGCGGCCTAATCAGGTGGCCCAGTTCGACTGTTACCCGATGCCGCGGGTGGACGAGATCCTCGACTCTGTCGGGTCTGCCCAGTTTCTCTCCACCCTTGACCTGTCCAGGGGGTATTGGCAGATCGCTCTGGCAGAGGATGCGTGTGCCAAGACGGCCTTCACCACACCGTTTGGCCTGTACGAGTTCACTATGATGCCATTCGGGCTCCATGGAGCGCCTGCAACATTTCAGCGTTGCATGGATACCGTCTTGGCTGGTCTCCCGTTTGTCCTGGCGTATTTGGACGATGTCGTCATCTTCAGTCCGACTTTTGAGGACCATCTTGTCCAGCTCCGCCACGTTCTTGGTCGCCTTCACGACGCTGGGCTCACTGTGAAGCCGAAGAAGTGTTTATTGGGTATGGTCGAAACTCCCTTCCTTGGCCATGTGATTGGTCATGGTCGGGTGCGTGGGGACCCTGGCAAGTTGCAAGCCATCGACGATTGGCGACACCCCACGACCAAGAAGGCCCTGCGTTCCTTCCTGGGGTTGTGCGGCTACTATCGTCGCCTCATTCCTCACTTTTCAACCATCGCGAAGCCCTTGGTAGCCATGACGTCGAAGGGCCACCCCAACACCCTCCACTGGACGACCTCAGCTGCACAGGCCTTCGTTCAATTGAAAGGCCTCCTTGTCTCCGACCCGGTCATTGTTGCGCCGAACTTTGCTGCGGAGTTCTACCTGCACACGGACGCGTCCGATGTTGGTTTGGGCGCTGTCCTGACCCAGCGTGATGCCCAGGGCACCGAACACCCCGTAGCATATGCCAGTCGCAAGCTCCTCGACCGTGAACGCCGTTATGCCACCATCGAGAAGTAGTGTCTCGCCCTCAAGTGGACCATTCTCAAATTCGCTCCGTATCTCCTCGGCAGACGCTTCACCTTGATTACCGACCACCGCCCTCTTCAATGGATCGCTCAGCATCATAGTGGCAATGCTCGGGTGGCCCGATGGGCCATTGCTCTGCAGCCGTTCGCTTTCACCGTTGTGCACCGGCCTGGCGCTCTCAATGGCAACGCCGATGCATTGTCCCGCCAGATGTGACTTTCTTCTCCTGCTGTGTTGCTCCTAGCTTCTTCATCTATTGTTTCTCTCTTCATTTAGTCATTGTACCAGATGGTATCTCGGACCGGAGAAGGGGAATGGTGTGATGATATTGTACCTTTATATCCTTTAGTGCCGTTACATCCTATATCTATTGTTTCTCGTTTAGTCAATGTCACAGATGGTATCTGTGACCGGAGAAGGGGAATGGTGTGATGATATTGGAACTATATCATTTGGTGCCATTAAATATCCCTTTACATATACATATACAGTAACTATAACCTTCACATCCTCATATTTACACCTGTACATATATGACATTAGAATAGCATGCTGCGTATTACTTCCCGTACTACCGGTACCTTTTCTAGTACTCACATATTGTACAACTTTACACACCAAGATAAAATAACAAGGATGACAGCCCTTCAGGGTTAGTTGTCGGTTAGCCGGACAAGAGTGGGTTGTTGGTGTGTCCTCCCCTAGGCCCTTCACAATCAGTAGAGATATTCCTTCAGTTTAATCAATGGATATAGACATACCTTTAGGCACATATCGTTGACAGAGGCACCTAGTTTGAAAGTTGTTTATCCAGTTCACTAAGCCCTTGTTTGGATCCAAAAACCCGTAAGTACGACTAGAATTTTTAACCGGAAGTTTATACTGGGATGACCAGGGAAGTCTCGTCGTACGGGTGGACGATGCCACTTCCCATTTCCAAGTACTCCAATCTCCAGCTTTCCATGTACCAGTCAAGCCTACCCACACAGCGGAAGTTCCCTTCACTTTCAGGTTTGCACATGTCACCTGAGCCATTGTGTGCACAGTCGCTAGTGATCCGCCATATGATTGACATTCTGCTTTTGCTTCTGTCCAAGTTTTCCGTTCACATTGAAAGGTCCAATCGACTTGCCACGTGCGAGCACTGGTTAGAGGACAGGCATCCCATTTCACTACACAGAATAACAAATTATGCAGAAGCAAGCACAAGTATATGATTGATTGATTGATTTTTATTTCACGGATCCTCCAGAGGCAAATAGATGCCTATCGAAGGGAGTCTCCTAAGTAAGTATGGAAAATGAGAAAGTATGTTCGTAAGGGAGAAGAGGTAGAAGATACATTAGAATATAGAGTACAGAAGAAGTAAATTCAGTACTTCGGGTAGTACATTGCATGCTAATCATAATGAGAATTAGAAAAGCAGCATTGCGGACTACTATAACTGACATATACACAAACGATTGAAACTATCATAGATGTGGTTAGCCTAGACACAAAAGTCAGGAATACCTTTCAAAGAAAACATAGATTGCGAATGATACCGACGAACAGCAATACTAAATTTCGCTGTTGTAGAGAGTGAACGAATATCTTCAGGAAGTTTATTCCAGGCAACACTCAAAGAAAAAAGGGTTGATTTACGAAAGAAGGTGCCAGCTTTAGGAAGAATTATGGATGAAGGGTGACGACTGCTTTGGGAAGAGGGTAGCTGGAAGTGAGACAACAAGGAGGGGTATTGGGAGAATACATGGTGGAAATAGACAAGGCCAAGAATCTGCCGTCGCCATGCTAACGATTCCCAAGAGGACAATATGAGGCATGGGCAGCAAAAACCAGGGTTAGGTGATATTTGGCGAAAATGAGTTTTTGATGGCTTTGAACTGTCCACTAAATGAGTGATCTATGGGCCAAATTTTGGAGCTCTGGGCACCTTCCAAGATGGTAAAAAGAACGCCCGAAATGATGGGTGACGGTCGACAAAAATGGTCAGCAAAAAGGCAAAATGGAACTCAGATACAGCTAGCTCTAATGGAGTGACTGAGAACAATTTAGCATATTTATAGGTCTTCAGGGAAGCACAGCGTACTCTAGTTGATATTATAGTAACATTGTTTCCTGCACTTGCTGCAATGTTGCTTGAAAACTCAATCCCTGTCATGTGCAGGTCTGGTGTTGTATGCAGACTTGTCAGACAGAAAGAAGCCAAGCAACTGACGTTCTACATGGCTGGGAAGAATCTGCAACTTAGAACAAGACTAGATATGCATGCTGGGTCAAGCCAGATACATCCACCAAGCATGTCTTGCTCTCCTACGCACAGCAGCTCGTAGATACATGCATTATACTGTGACAAATTTCATGCGCAAGCGCTTTAAGCGTGCATGTATACTTGCAACAATTTTATTCACAAAATATCTTGTATCAAGTAAGGTTTAGTTCATTCAGGGCTGTCTCCGTATCTCACCAACTTATCCAGCTGCGATTAGTCGCCACGGAGTACTGAATCTCGTTCGTCACTCTCAGCGCTGCTGTCCGCGTCGCCACTTCGTGTCACGGAGCTCTCAAACTCGTCGTCTGCGCTGCCTCCGCTGATGGCTTGTCATCTGAGCGAAACCTCTTCACTTTCACCTGATTCTTCTTGCGGGGACTATCACAGGCAGCAAAGTATCTCTGGAGATCCAGCTGCCAAATATTCTAGTCGCTCGTGCTCCATCTAAAATTCGTGACGGGATGGTTCCGTCAAGAAATTATTTGTTGCGCTCTCTTTTCAGCGCATGATTTGCAGACGCTTCCCAGAGCGCAAACGCCTCCATGGTGGCTGAAAACGCCTACCTGGACGTCCCAAGTGCTTGGCGGATAAACTACAACTGCAATGACAACAAATTATAGTGAAGCGACCAAGAGGAAAGCACTTTCAAAGCGTGACTGAAGAGTAACCATGCTGAACAATGATTAAATATACATTCAATGATGTGTTACGAGAACAAAATACAGTGCCAAAATAGAAAGAGGGAAGGTGAGACAATAGCAGTGAAGTGAGAGCTAAGTGCAACGGTGGGAATCAGATGGTGATTGTGATCGTAAGAAGTCTGCCGTTTTTCTTCACTTGTTGTCTCACCCTAAGTGTCTGCAGGTGTATGATGATTTTAGTTTTTCTGTTCTTTGTCGTGCACGGTATGCTAGTCAGTTGAAAGTACTTGAGGCTGTTTGTATTCGTTTGCATAAGCCTGATCTTTGTAAGCAGAAGAAACATGTAGTTGCGTTAAAATTGTTTTCGTAGGTGCACAGCATGATTGTTCGTCTCACTACACAGTTTTAGCGTTATAATTATTAGTTTTTCACCCACCGTTGCACTTAGCTCTCACTTCACTGCTATTGTCTCACCTTCCCTCTTTCTATTTTGGCACTGTATTTTGTTCTCGTAACACATCATTGAATGTATATTTAATCATTGTTCAGCATGGTTACTCTTCAGTCACGACTTTCCACTGATGAATGTGACAAGAAAATTAATTCTTGTGAACTTACATGACTTCGTTGTAGTGTGGCGATGACTGCAGAATTTGTTCTTTTTATTGCTATTACAAGTTCAGATGTATATATATTGACCAATGTAGAAACCAAAAACGATATTCGTTTTTCTGTGTAACGAAAAAAAGATTGTGTCTGTTGTTTTCATTTTTTGTGCGTTTGCACTGCCCTGGCTAAGGCCACACATACCTTGTCAAGAAAGAAAGCGTTCATTGCTGACAACATGTAGCTAAACACTTGGCAATACTCATAATCTGTTTTGCTAAGTCATCCATATTCTATTTTACGCATAACCTTGACACAGAGGGTATCATGTCTGGCAACACTTTCACTTTCATAAGTGATATTTTTTAAATGCTCTGACCTCCAAAGTGCCGGTTATAAGGATTTGCTTGCAACTTTGTTCAAACCGGGTTGCTGTGTTATTCACTATTGTACTCAACTTGGAAAGTAAGGGTTCGAAAGGCTTATTCGAAACCATATCGCTTCCGTGCTTCGTGTGATGACCTTCTAAGTGCTAGCCACATCCAAAGCTACGTACAATGCTTAAAACAAAATTCATCCTCACCTGTGGGCAACGTGGTAATGCGAGTGGAGCTGGACTGGTCACTATCTCCATAGGCATTGCTAACATAGGCGGTGACATTATAGCTCATGTTGGGTTTTAGGCCAGGTAAGGTGACATTTTTCGAGGCGCTGCATACTGGTACCAATGGCATATTCCCGGACAGATCATTAGCAGGTATTCCGTGCACACAATACTGGCGTATGGGAAGGTTGCCTTCTTCTATTTGGCCTAGAAACACCGTGATAGTAGTACTTGAGATGACGGGGTTGAGAGGCGGATTTGGTGCTGATATAAAACACATCCACATCACGTGTAATGACTAAGGAAATTGTTTTGTTTAGAAGAAAATTAACCAAAGGATTATTATCATTTATATTCTTCTTATTCTTCGTTAGTTTGAGGGAAAGACACAAATTATTCTTATTATTATTATTTTAGCACTGCCGCGTTCAAGTGTGTGGATCAAATAGGTCCACTCACAGTTTCTCTAGTACCGTATAGATCCAAGTAAGGTGATAATGATGTTGAGCAACGTGATAATGGAATAGTTTCCAAATATACACCCGGTGTGACAAAGGCAAAGACTGCATGCAAGGCAGTGACTAAGGATCATGCACGTGAAAATAACACTGATAAGAAACTATTGTGAAAAGAAGAAGGACAAAATGTTACGAGTTATGACTAACTGTCCCCCAACTCGTAACATTGTGTCCTTCTTCTTTTCACAATAATTTAATTAGCTCCACATCCGAGTTAAAAAAGGAAACTATAATCGTATAATAGCTATAAAAAGTATGAATGCCGCAGACATCACCATGCAACATGATAATTTGTTCAAGGTTTGGTTTTGTTTGTTTCCAAAATCGATTTTCACGCTCCGATCATTAGTGGAAATACGGGCCTAAAGAAATCAAGGGAAAAACAAAGGTTAAAAATCCAAAGAAGTGTGACACATGACGGGTAACTTGTGGCAAGTATTACAAAAAGTGAGAACTAAAATAAAGAGTAAGTGTGACAAACGGGCATGAACAGTGCAGAAACCTTTTAACCTTTGTTTTTCCCTTGATCTCTTTAGTTCCGTATTTCCACTGATGATCGGAGCGTGAAAATCGATTTTGGAAACACACAAAACCAAACCTTGAACAAATTGTCATGTTGCGTGGTGATGTCTGCGGCATTCATACTTTTCATAGCTATTATTAAACTTTTCACTCACAAAGCGACTGTTCAGTACATGGGGTAGTGGTCTACCAGAGCAATCACACTCACCACCGTGGTGGTTTTCCAGAAATGATTAGAAGCAAAAAAACCACACTCCCAGCCACAAAATAGATAAATAGCCGAAAAATATCTAAATCCATCAAAGAACCGCCAGCAAGCGGGAAAAAAGCCGTGAAATCTAGTGAACAGCATGGCCAGTGGTGAGCATGGGTGACTGGGCAGCAGGGGAGCGCCTGAAAAACAATGACTCCCTACATTCCTAGCCGTGACCGCTCAACCGGGCTAGAGGAAAAACACGCTTTTTGGCCAAAAAACCTTTCTATTTCATTGATTCCTGCCCCACTGCCAGTCGGACCCAAGAATAGATATAGCAAGAAATGGTATGTAATAACCGGTGTAAGTCATAATCATAAGCCACACACATAGGCATAGATTGTCAAGATGAACAGCGGACGACTCCCATGAACCCAGGGTGGGTGGGCGGGCAACTTCAACTACAACGAGGAAAAACAAAGTCCACGATGGCAGGTTCAGCGGAGTTGCGCAGAACAAGAGCAAATGCACGAAAACATTTGTGAGTGAAAAATACGTTTTTTGCACTCTTTCGCTACGCTCAGCCGTGAAAAAACAAATTTTTTATCTCCACGTACATTATTTCTATAATCGTATTTTCATGTTTTCCCTTACACCTCTCCCTGCCAACGAAATAATTTGGGCACATTTGTGGCTATACCCTAGATCGAATCAGCAATGCATATTATGTGAAGCGTGACATGGAATGTCATTTGTCTTTGCTAATTCGTTTCAAATTCAATGTATCCCTTAGTTGTCGTCACCCGTCCTCTATAGTTTTACCTCGTTCTGGCGCCCATTTCCTTAAATCCCCTCTCTTCAGTTTATCTGTGGAATGGAACAAAAGTTTGCGAAATTTTTTTTCCTTGAAATTAATCCTTGCTGGGTTCTTTTTCATCTAAATGTCCCGCTATTATCTGCAGAGGTGATTTCTTCCCTCGTCGATTTCTTTCCTGCTTTTATAACTCGATACTTAGGTACTTGTTTCCCTTCTTCTCATGCTTCATCTTCCACTCTCCTCTCCCCCATTTCCCATTTTTCTTGGGATATTTATGTGGGAGACTTCCGTGATAAGCATCCATTTGCTTTTGGAGAATCCTTTTAAATAAATACAATACAATACAATACAATTTGAGGAAATCGATCGTGGCAAAACGAATTTGCCCGGAACAATAAGAAGAATGTTCATTTCACCAAATCCTTAAAAATTCACGCAAAACTCTTAACTCCTGACCCTGTGGGTGTCGGTATAATTATGATGTAACGGCATCCCTTACCTTTCGGCAATGTTCCAATTTTGATTTCGGAGGACATGCTGCTATTGTGTCCGATCGTAGTTTTGAAGAATGCTCTGATCCGGTACAAAGTATTTGTTGCCAGGCCTGACAGAACAGTTGATTCATTTTTGTCGCACACTACCGTCGGGGTAGCCGCAGTTCCATTTTTCTCGTACAGAAAGCAGAAATCAGAAACCCAATCTCGAAGTATCTTAGGCTGTACTATGCGTGCGTAGATGTGCGTGTCTGTAGAGTTGACAGCTATGGCGGAGGGCACTACAGGGGAAAGAGCATATTGAAGAACGCATGGAATACCAGTGAACAAGACATGTACAAGTAAATGGTTTTTAGTTTGTCGAATATTACCTTTCTAATGCAAGAATAGTTGTATATGTACGGACTATTTGACTGCTTCCAGAAAATCAGAATTCAAAAAGATTTTCGAACCGAGACTCCAGCAATCTTTAACAGGTATATAAAATATATAGATAGGAAAGAAAATGATCCAGGAAATGCAAGTTACGCTTTAATGTCCATTAACAACAACATTAGTTGCTTGACCATCAACTCATGCAATGCAATTGAACGACACTGTTGAACAGTACTGACGGTCAACAACCAATTGCCAGTAAACTCTAGCACGTATTCGAGCTTGTATTAGAATCGCACTCGAACCGCCTTCCAATTTGAAAGGTTCTAAGCTATAGGAGTAGGAGGGGATGATGCGCGCAAACAAGACTGAAACATGAAACTCTTAGATGTGAAGGACGTTGACGAAGGTACATGGAGAACCTTGCCAGGGTGCTCAAACTGACAAGTCAGGGAGCTCTGCATAACGCAAACAGCAAAGACAAGAGCGCTCAACGGCTTCAAGAGCAGGAGCGAAATACTCCAAGTCGGGACATAACTGTAATAATTATACTCACATTGCGCCCATCTTCCTGTCCGCTTTCGCTCTTCTTCTTACAATTCATTATCTTGCCACATGTTAACTACTGCCGTATTGCCTGGTCAAATCTATCGTATATACTGCCCAAGACCAAGAACTGGAAATTCCTTAATTAGGTGATATCATTATTGGTTAGTGAAATGGCGATATTCCTAGTGCCCAATGTGAATATCGCGTGTAATGCCAGCTAGTACGTGCTTCGGAACAGCAAGGGTTAAGATTATTTAAGAATATTAAAGAAAAGGGTTGTGTCCGTGTCCGACGGGAACTCTCGACGGACGCTAACCCCATTAGACCCTAGCGGGATATTGAGCGCTTGAGGGAGAAACCCCATTAGCAGCACCCACGTACCCCTGCAAAAAGCACCTGACCACAAGTTTTCAACTTTTCATTCTTCATTTTTCGATTTTTCTTTCTATACATTTTCGTACTCCCGAAGCTGGCTATAAATCTCTCCAATCACCGCGCCAAGTGGTAATTGCCTGCCCGAGCCATTTTTCCCTAGGAATAAAACAAACCCGAAGGTTTTGGAAGAAGAAATGTACATCGATCCCGATCTTTGTATTATGGTAGTTGTGATAATGATCATGGATCGAAAAATGTGCATTGAATGGCCTTAGTGGGCTAGCAAGTTTTAAAAGCAACCTTTGTTTACAAATTAATATTACATTATCAGCCCCTTTAGTGCATAGGTAGGTGAATACGGAAAGGCTGTTAGGCAAGTATAAGAGTAGCCTAATGGGTGTGTGAAAGAATTCCTATGAGATCCCTACCTTTTGGTGTATATCTTTGGCAATAGAAACTTAGCTTCATTGAGCAAGATTCGATTCCAAAACTGTCCTTCTCCGGGGAATAATATCCGCATTCGTTCCGTCCACCACCTTCTTGTAGTGGTGCAGTGATCCAAGAAACGTTTTTTGCAGCGATTGGAACAGGTAACATCCATGTCCAGGTTTTGGATGGAGATGGTCGTTGAAGAGCAACCCACACATTGCATGTATTGGTTTTGCAGAAGTACGAGGAAGTCGTGCAGTTACCACTGGAAGAACTGTTGCACTGACCGTTTCGGGGTCCAAGCAGTTCTCTTGCACACTCTCCATGATATCTAGACTGGATATTTGCCAGAATGCTACCTCTCCGGGCACACTCAGCAGACGCATCATCGTATGTCTTAGGTGTGGGAACGTAAAGAGTTTCGAGGCTTCCCGATGCTTCTTGGCTCTGTGAGCAAAAGTACCAGTTATCTGCAGAATTGACAGTTTGTATTCCAAAAAAAGCCTTTATAAAGACATTGATGTGATCCAACCAACCAATGCAACCACTCCACGTATATGTCCACAAAAGGTAGAGGCACCTCGAATAGAGTGCTAAACAGACCAATTTCCAGAGAAATATCAGGAAAAGCGCCAAGACCAGGTGCAAAGAGAAGTTTCAGGCATGGCAGTGGTCATCAGACAGGGGAAATTGAAACAGATGTTTTGAGAGCGGCACTACATACTTTAGAACAAAACCCCATATTTTCGCAATCTATACCTTCGCATGCAGAGACGCAAATCGACACTATCAAGTAGACACTTTCTTTCATCTAAACGACGCTTTCCTTCACTCCTCATCAAGATAGCACAGGGAATGTTTGAAAAAATGTAACTACGTAAAGTTTTTAATAAGGAAAAAAAGTAAACACCTCAACCTAATTGAAAAATGATTAAAGTGCCAAAACCTCAAATACGGAACCTGGGAGTTGTAGACAAACATGGTCAACACATCATGAAAACCTGGGCACACTTTCCTGAGCTAGGTGTGCCACCAAGCATCTGCAAAGATAACACACGCTCCTTCTATACACATAGTCCTGGAGCTAAGTTAGGAATACACAGCGCTTCTAACACAGAAAGGTGTAAGCTTCCACAAGTTAAAATCTTAAATATAGCATCACGCTACAACTTCCGACAACTAGCACTGCACGACAAATGATGTTTCATGATTTCACTAAAAGCAGCTCACCAGAGGATAATCAGTTGGGGAATGATAGAATTGAACTGAATAGTACTGTATAAGACACTGCATACTGGTAAAATTTGTGCAAGTCACACCTGTGAAGTCCACACGAACAGAATAGTGCAGAATTTAGGATGTAAAGGAGCCTCTTTTACGGGCCAATAAAAAATCCAATCTGAAGAGCAATGTCAATAAAGCCGCTCATAACGCTAAAAATCAAATCAATTTAAAAAAATTCAATTCAATTCAAAGTCGTGACACATCCAGTAAAAAACAGCAAGAAATAATATCTCGGTGCAAAGGAAGAAAAAGGAAATAAAAAGCCGCTTCATTTAAAGGACCAAATGAAGAAAAGCAAAGAAATACCCACATCAGCGCTAAATTGCACCTTAAATTATAAACAAAAACATGACGCGTCCATTAGCATTGAGGACACTGCCATTAGCGAGGTTATACACACCACTGTTACATCCGTCCCTCAGCCATGGCTAGTTTTTTTTTTTTTTTTTGAGGTACTACACTGTACATGTAGTGTAGGGTTTTTTTTGAGAACGGAGAGCGGCAGCAGCCTGCAGGTCTTATTCGATAGTGAGGAAAATGTTATCAACTCCAAAGCACGAAAAAGGCCAAAAACTAAACCAAGAACATATGCAATAACATGTTATTTATGAAGACAGGACAAGTGAATAATTAATCAGTCCATTGTTCATGATGATCTCCGACGGTTACGTCGGCAAGCGAGCCTCCGCCACTGCCAAAGCAGCGTGGGCTCCGCGAGGGTGCAAATTTCAAACCAAAATTTAAACGCCTACAACCGCGAATGCACATGATACAGGATTCAGAAGGCTGAAGGAAATCCTGCATCTAACAAATGCCATAACATGAGAGTAATGCTCACCCCTCTTCTCCGCCAACAGATGAGCAATTCGTTTGTACAGTGCTGTTGATGCTGGACCCATTCCGCCACTGGCTGACATGACCGCCGGAACAAAGGAGGCTTGCTCAGCCTGCCTCACCCGCTCCTCATAGTGACTTCTCTTTTCTTTTTTATGTCGCTGATACACAATAGTATGTGGTGCAGATCGATTTGAGCGTGAGTGAGGATTAAAAACCCGTATATCAATAAGTGTACGCTCAAAACGACTGCCCCACAAACCATTGGCAGCGACATCCAACCGGGCACGGTCTTCCACATTTGCGGTCCGGTAGCGAAGACGCTCCCCCGTCAGCGGTTGCAGCAAGGGCTCGATGGACACACTGGTGCACACCTCGTCCAGCAGCCGGGCCGTGACGTCCCGAATACCATTGTGTCTAATGGAGGGAAACCCTCCATAGGGGCACGACAGGGAATGCGCGACAGTTGCCTCTTGGCCGCAAGAGCAGTGTGACGGTACCTTGGCCGGTGTCCATCCGTAACGGAGGCAGAGTCCGTCCCAAAACTCTCCCTTTGTTAAATTAAAATGATATTTCTTAAGTGGACGGCACGTCAGCCAGCTCGACGACCCTTTCTCCTTCGCGACGTCTATGACATTTCGTAGCGACTCCGACGCACTGCCCGATATCGCGTTGAATTCCAGTTTCTGATGACGTCGAGAAGATGCCTTGGCGTCTCTCTTGGCCGATCTGATTAACACTACATGGCTAGTGGGCGCAATGCATTTACCGGTCGATGGTATGCAGAGCCAGCCCCTCTGATGCACATAACTGCAGCTCGGAGGAGTGCAAACGACAGACAGCATCTGACATAGGCCATAACCTCGCCGTAGGGCTTGCCATCATGCTGTGCCAGCATAGCGCATAATCGCTTCAAAAACCGCAAGCATTATGGGGATGCACTGCCAGCCGTGGTGAAGACAAGCGGGGTAAAGTTACCACGGTCAACATTGACAATCCTTTCGCTGTACTGCAGCTTCTTCTGCCTCTCGTGCAATGATGATTTATGGCGGACATCCGACCTGCTCACTTTGTAACCTTCAACGCTGGTCTCCTCCATTGGGCTTGGTTGTTTGGCAGCTCCGGTTGACACCTCCAAGTAGACGTCCTGAGGCATGCACTCATCCGGCACGACTTAGATGTAGAAAATGTCATTGAAGCTGTATTCTCTGCTAATGCAATAACTGGCCTTGACTCGTGCATTCTTGAACAAGGATTCTCATATGGCAGAAACCGAAACGAGCACGGAGGTGGTATTGATGTGTTGATCAAGTCCACCTTTGCTTCTGATAATCTAGACTTACTTCGGTCCACGGAACGTACAACAGTTTGGGCTATGTGTTTGGTGATTGGTTCTGTGTACCGCTCCTACTCCTGTAGCCCCACCAACCTCTGTCTCATCAATTCACGTGGCGAAACACTACCTTAGACCAAAGAACTGTCCCCAAACGTAGTTCCAGCGGCGGATTTCAATGTGCATTGTAAAGATTAGCTAGGTAGCGAAAAATCAAACCCTCTCGGGGATAGCCTTGTGGATCTTTGTGTCACACACGAGCTAACGAAACATGTTCGAGAGCTCGCTTGGGGTGCCACCCCGCTAAACCTCATCCTGTCGACTTTCCAAAATCCATCAGCACGAATATACTTCAACAATTGGGTCGCTAAAATCATGGAACTCAATAAGTTAACTTCCTGACAACTTCAACAAGCCGGGGACAGACAACCACGCAAACTGTGCGGGTTGAAGAGCGTGCTGGCTGAGGGTGACTCGGAGCACACCTCAAGGCCGTCCATTGGGCCTTCATTATCACCCACGATGCAGAGTTGGCTTGCCTTAAAGTTGCTATTACCATTGATGCAGGCATGGAACAGTTCATTATCCATCAATCTCCCGAAATCCGCTATTCTAATCCCAAGTGGTGTGTGTTCTCCTGATCGCACATAAATGATGCGTATTAAGAGAGCATGTCTGAGAAAACCAGAACATATGTGCAAGTCGATCTCTCAGATTTCGCTCAAATTTTGCAGGTAGATTTCCTTTGGGGTGTAGATCGACATTCCAAAGCCCGCACACAATCTTTTGAAGGGAACCATGAAATTGGCATACCGTCAATATTGGCCCAATATTGGCACGATTTATGGGTCTACAAACGAGCCACGGCACAGCGTACAAGAACAAGCTACGAACAAAACTCCATCAAGCCATCATTACCTCACCTTAGAAGAGTTCTTGGGGCAGCACCACTTAGCCACGCCTGCATCCCAGAAGACGAGGGAAATCATCCCTTGACGCCACAAATGATCGTTTTGAAAATAGCCAAATTACAAGCGCTGATAAAACAGCGAGCTACGTCCTCAATTAGCAAACACTATACACCGGCAGATAGTAGAGCACCTCTTCTAGCACTGAGGACATGTCCCCCATCATCCCTTTGGGGGTTTTCTTGAAATAAACAAGTTTGAATTTTTCCACTCGACCATTCTGAAATACGTCCAAACTCATACCTGCGCAGGAAAGCTCGCCCTTCCGCGACGTCTAGTCAGCAATTTCTACTCCAACACCACTCCCAATGCTGCAGAACAAAGTGTATTGTTGACTCTGACAAGGAAAAGCAGCGGTGATCACTTGTCACTCCAAACGACAAGCTTCTCCTTGCGCCACCAACATTTTTCGTTGCAACAGTTGATGCAAAAGTGACTGAATTTTTGCGTGTAGTTTTTGGATTTTACTGCAAGAGGAATCAGCGGCCTTTACTATGGAATGCTATTCGAGCCGGCGTGGATATTTGGTGCTAGTTTGAAAGTTAGTGTGTGTGTGTGTGTGTGTGTGTGTGTGTGTGTGTGTGTGTGTGTGTGTGTGTGTGTGTGTGTGTGTGTGTGTGTGTGTGTGTGTGTGTGTGTGTGTGAAGTGTAGATGTGGCAATGGGACAGTGTTGGTGAGAGGCAACGGATGTAAAATTAGAATAAAGACGACAGCACGGCAGTGCTACCGAGTTATCGAGGTCAAGAACGACAGTATTGGAAGAACATAGAAGGGGTGAAGAGAGAGACAGCGATAGTGAGAGAGTGAGAGAAATAGAGAGTGAGAGCGAGAGAGAGAAAGAGAGGGGAAACACAACGGCGCCAAACCCCGTAAAGGTGGCACCATGTTGACACAAAAATCGTGTAACTGATTCATAGAATTTGGAAAGGTATAACTTGCGCTCCTGTCTGACTTTCGATACCAACTACGATTTTTTGTCGATGTTCATCGTGTCTGCTTCTAGTGTCTCGAACTTCTCAGCATAGTGGACAGCGTTCAAGTAGCCCCGGACCGTAATGATGGGGGACGACGGCCCATTTGACAGCCCGTGGAGTGTTCTGTTGCTCGAGCTTTCATGTGCTCCAGGATAGTTTTGTGCTTTCTTCCATTCTCTCATGCCTTGTCTCGGTCGCATGGTTGTTCTATCTCTGCTTAAAGAGTGTTTCCGCAAAGCCGAGGTACCCCTGTCGCTGCTTTCTTCCTGTGTACTGTACTGTCGCCTTGTACACGATGCATAGTACTTGGAGGTCCCCGTCCAGTGAGCAGGTGCTTTTTTCGGCAGCTACATCGTTTGTCAGGGACGCTCTTGTCCTGTGTTTGTCTCTTCCTTTGAACATGGATATTATGGCATGAAAGATGATGCAACAGTGAAGAAATTTTCTGCTCTGAACGTAGGAGATTCTGCTTCCTGCCGACTGACTAGACACTTGACCGGCTCACGACTGCGTCTGGAGCACACTAGAAACCCATCGTGCTCTATACCCGGCTTACAATTCGGCGACCCCGGATGCAGACAAAATGGTCAATATCAACACAAGATCGGGGCTGGTCTCGAATTGTAGACACAAAAACAAGTTTTACTTGTCTAAAAAATTCACCATATGTTACATGATAGGTTTTTCAACATGGCGCCACCTGTACCAGGTTTGGCGTAACGGTGCTTTCTCTCTCCCTCTTCACGCCTGTTACAGTATGTCATTGCGTTACTGTCGCAATCGCCATCGATTACTCAGTGCCACTGCCCTGTTATCGCCTCTATTCTCATCTTTATTCGTTAACTGTCATAAATAATTCAACTGCACTTTCCCATAGACACATCTACACTTCACACATACAGACTTTATTCCACACTAGCACAAAATAGCTAGACCTGCTCGTCGAGGATTCGATTGTAAATGCTGCTATCTGATGATTGCTGAAATGCGTGAAATGTAAAGTTACATTTGCACAGCCTTTCGCCTCTGTCGTGCGTTGAGTTCTCCACCTGGAGCAGCCTATATTGGCCTTTTTTGTAAATGCATATAAGCATGAGTCAAGTGTCGAGCAGTCTTGTCTACTAAGGGTTTGATTTCATGAACATATATAGAGCGCTCTGATCTTACAAGCATCATTAGTTTAGACGCAAGTACAGTGAAGCTTTGCTTTCAGGTGCGAGTTGTTGTTGTTGTATACTTTATTTATAGTGGAAATCAAAACAGGCAAAATGCATAATAACATTGGACCCACTGTGAATAACATGTTAAAGGATATTGTGGAGAAAAAAAAAAAAAAAAAAAAGTAGATACAAGAGAAAAAGAGAAAGGAAAAAATGACGGAAGGTTGGTTGCAACAACGAGTGAAATGGTATATTAAATTGCCACATCGTTACATTCGGGAACCTACCATTCGCCAACACCGAAGAACACTATCCCGTGCCCTTTTTCTCTTTCAAATATATTTAGTTATATCCGCGGTCTTCATTTTTGGGACTTGTGGTTTAAAGAGTAAATGGAATGTCTAATTTAATCAGAGGAGTGGCCCGTACCGATCTAGATTAGTAGAGATATTCCTTCAGTTTAATCAATGGATATAGACCTACCTTTAGGCACATATCGTTGACAGAGGCACCTAGCTTGAAAGTTGTTTATCCAGTTCAGTAAGCCCTTGTTTGGTTCCAAAAACCCGTAAGTATAACTAGAATTTTTAACTGGAAGTGTATACTGGGATGACCAGGGTAGTCTCGTTGTACGGGTGGACGATGCCACTTCCCATTTCCAAGCACTCCAATCTCCAGCTGTCCATGTACCAGTCAAGCCTACCCACACAGCGGCAGTTCCCTTCACTGTCAGGTTTGCACACGTCACCTGAGCCATTGTGTGCACAGTCGCTAGTGATCCGCCATATGATTGACATTCTGCTTTTGCTTCTGTCCAAGTTTGAAATCCAAGACGAAAGGTCCAATCGACTTGCCACGTGCGAGCACTGGTCAGAGGACAGGCATCCCATATCACTACACAGAATTACAAATCATGCAGAAGCAAGCACAAGTATATGTATATGGGAGCAGTGTAAACAGAAAAAGGAGCGAAATGAAGGATGGAACATGTTCGGATGATGATGGTGGTGAGCCCAGGGGTGGAGAGGGAGGGTTCTGTTTATTGTGAACATTGTACAGATCCCGATATTATTGTGGATCCCGGGAAGTATTTAATTAATTTGTGAGAAACCCAAGGTACTGTGATGTATACAAGTATTGTGTTTTTGTGTATACTACTTGTGCTTGTACACTCAATGGTGGAGTCCCTAATTTGCGTAACCCAGGTTATGCATTCAGAAGAAGAACTTTTCCGCACTCAACGTTCTCACTTTAAGAACTACTGCCTTACACTCTTTTTCCTCCCTGAAACGGGATTTTGATCGCGTGTTGTTTATAGTGGTGAATACAACAGACATCTCCATATACTGTACTCGCGCAAATAGAGCCATCTCTTGGATAGTTCACTCTTTCTCAAGTTATGCCCCAATCTCTAAGAGACAGTGAAAACACCAAGCTCCCTCGCTCTCTCTTGATTAGTATAATCCCCTCCCTCCCCTCAACCCCTCCCCCCGTAGTTTCAGGATCAAAATCTCAGCTCTCGTTGTCGTATCGGTGAATCGTAGTAGTTTACAGTAAGCATTCGGCTCGGTGTTTTCTTAGGCTTCTGCCCTTTGAAGATTCCCTTAATACCCTCTTTCGAACAGCTCTCTCTCTCTCTTGAATAGTGCTCCCCCATTTGTACTGGACAAAAATATGTGGCCCAGGGTGACTTTTAGCGCGAAAACATAATATTATAGATTCTTTCCTGAGAAGGAAATAGAATGAAATGATAAAAGAAAAGAAAGAACAAATTGCAACCGTTAGCGCAAAGACATCCGCACGTTTATTTTCTAGAAGTTACCACACGCTTCTCCCTGTGTCCGCCCTATACCGGGGTTCTAACTTTTTCTCCTATTGTCCAATTTCGTCAGCACTGCCCAACGGACTTAGAATAGAGAGTCTGCCATCTGTCACTGCGCTCTTCACGCTCCTAGTACTGTCGGAGCCGCTTCTCCACGTGTTCCATCAACCTATCGCCTTCAAATCCGTACCGATTTCCTTTGGCGATAAAGCTGACTTCCAAATTAGTTTGTTCCTCTGCCATGCTCGTTTTGGACCTGGCGTAGTCGTCAAATGTTGTGAACCCTTCTAATTCTCTAAATTGTCAGGAACGAACGACCACACGGCACCAGGACAACTATCTACTCTTCAGCAGTATTTTTCACTTCGATCAACTTATAAATCTTCACTATCAACTAATAACTAACACTAAAACCACCAGGTAGTTATAGAGTAAAAATGACAGCATATATCAGAAAAGCATACGCATACAACACACATACAGCGCACACAGCAAATCGCTCCTAGCGCATGTAGCGTATACCACGTCGTAAACATCATCGGCACGGCGGGGTCGAGATACAACTGCATTGAAACGAACACAATGTCACAAGCGAGAAGGCCCTTCACACTTGAGAACTTGTGGGTTCATAATAGTCCTGGTTGATTGCCCGATGGCAAGGGACAGCTGGCCCAGGTTTTTTGGGGTTGGGTTTGAAAATCTTTATTTTACACACGCATTTTCTGATTTCTTCTCCAGCGTATGATATATTGCATTTTAATCCATTGTGTTAATTTGCCCATAAAAGAGGCCTGAATAACTGGCCCATGGTGGACCAGCCGCATTGCTAAGCTGTCACACTGTGGGCCTGCGTAGCGGGTTCTTACTGACCTCATTGCGCTATGTGATTCACCTTTACACCAGGCAGCTGCTGGGTCAGCTGCGCCATGTTCAGGTCGGTCATACTGATGTAGTGCAAGACTCTCTCGTTCTTTCATAGGCCCATAGGCCCATCGCCATGATAATAATCAACACAAGTACAGCTGCAGTGGGATATCATTCTCCCACGTCAGGCTTCATGCGAAGACTTTCAAGACGAAGATTGCCTCATGAGTCCAGCGGGGACGAAACGTGCCTTACAATCGAGCTACTAGTATGTCGTTGCTGTGTGATCTGCTGTCTACTATATTGAGTACCATTAACCATTCATCGAATAGGCGCCAGGCGTTAAGTGATATTGGTGGAGAAGGTGAGCTGTGCCAGAGTAACTTTGCAGCGTAGAGAGCGTGTGTGGGCAGGCGCGTAATGACAGCCATAATGCCTGGAGTGTATTCATCACCATATTAATTTGTCGCAGATTCCGAATTGCATTGTAATAGGATCGTGGGTCTGGTCGTAAGGCATCAGAAGCTTCTGCCTGCCTTTGCCAGAAGTAGTCTCCATCCTGTTTTAGTGTTGTTCTGATCTTATAAGATACATATCACAATGTGACGCATGTGTTAGTGTGCGCCTCCAAGATGTGCTAATGCTGTCAGTTCGTAGTAGAACGTCAGTACCATTGGCCAGCCTCGTGCAACGATATGGCATGATCTGATTGCTTGGTCACAGGTGGTGTTTTTTTTATTTTATTTATTACAACATCTCAAGACTCGGCGGAAACACCGGCCAATGTTACGAGAGTGGGTGATTGCCAACCACGGCAATAAAATTAATAGACATGAGGGGAGGGAAAAAGAAAGAAAGAGTAGCAAAACGAACAGCAACAACAACTCCGTAAAGAAAGAAAGTGTTAGTGAAGAAAGTGTTAGTGGACACAAAACCGTATCTTGTAGTTCCTTGTTGTTGTTGTTACTTTGTTTTACTTCACCAGCATTACAGGCAGTATAATGCCTTCTCACTGATGTTCCTTTTCCTTTTCTATAAAATACTTAGTTTTATACTTTTTTGCAGTGCTAATGCCTCTTGTACGGGCAAAACATAAAATAAAGACAATCAATGATTAGATCGAGCGCACGCGATGATGATCATGTACAATGTCATTAATGACAATTGACAGATAGTAATAATAATGTGAGCCTCAAGCTGAGGTTCTTGCTTCAGCAACAACAAGCGCTGCCGAGTCTGAGGCCATTGCTGGTAAGAATGGCTTGCGTGCGCCACGCAGGCACATCAGCGCTGAACGGTTTTGCTAGCACTCCTCTTCCTGTTGAGGGTCTTGATGATGGAAGTCGTATAAGGCACAAAAAAAGATTGTCGACGCCACCGATGAACTCATCTAAACATATTCCGTAATAGTAGAAAATATCTACTAACTGGTTGCGCGGCACTCATTCGCGCACACCTCTACCTGAGGAATATAAAACACGGACTTACAGCTACATGTGTAACTGCATGCATTCTTGCCATTCTTGTCTCGATGCGAAACGTTTGCACACTTGTTAATTAGTCCATATGCTTGGAGAATTGACTTACACCTACCATAAAAATATATTGCGATTTGAGTCGAACATCGACACATGCCGCCATCCGGCAAACCTCTTTGTGGATGGTGAATGCTTGTTATACTATGAAGCACTACCCATGCAGATTGATTCGGTTGCGATGCTGATGTGCGCCCTTTGCATCGTACGCTTGGTCCAGGCAGTCAGCTCATCTGACGTCATCCAGGTGTGGTACGCAGATGATCCTTCAGGGTGTGGAGAACTTCGAGCCCTCCGCACCTGGTGGGATGGACTGACCGAGCAGCTAGTTTCGTAGAGGCAAAGGTCATCTACTTGACACTTCAGGTGTCGCGGCTAACCGATTTTGTCCTGACACAACCCTTTGCCGCCTACTCCACATTTGTTCATGGTCTACAAAACAAGTGATATTTCTTGTCCCGGACCTTGGAGATGTCATCTGAAGAGTTTGGTGGTCTGGAAGCTGTTATTAGGGAGCGCCTCATCCCAGGACTTATTAGTCGAGTCCCTCCGTCCAGTGTGGAGCGACTTATGCTCTCGATCCCTTGTCGGCATAGCAGTTTGAGTCTCTCGATTTCCACCGCCCAATCACGCCAATATGCCCACTAAAGAGCTCAGAGTAAGGATTAGTGAGGCAGATCTCTCGCCAGCTTGTGTGGCAGACGCTACCAAGACCACCAAACGTCAAGTCCGCACTGCAGCTCGGGCATAACAGCAACATCTGAAGGAGGGGTTTTGAGCGGTAAAGGTGCAGTACATGTGCCTCAGTTTGAGCTTTCTTCCCAGTGTGGTAGCTATACTTGGCTGACGTCACGTCCTCTACCCTGCTATGGCTTTCGTCTCTCTAAGTCTGAGTTTGGAGATGCTCTGTTTTTGCGCTATGGCTGGGTGCCGGAGCGTTTGCCGTCGTCCTGCATTTGTGGAAACGGCGGCTTCGATCTCTCCCACGCATTTTTCGGCCCGACCGGTGGTTTTCCGTCGTATGGCACAATAAAATCCGTGACGTCACCGCTGACCTCATTCGCTAGGTGGCTTACTCGGTATCCGTGGAACCTCCACTGCAACTGCTCTCTGGTGAGCAGTCCAACCTCCATTCTGCGTCCTTAGCGGACAATGCTTGCCTCGACTTCGCTACCAGTGGATTCTGGGGTGGCCGGTTAGAACGCACAATGTTTGATATACGGCTTTTCAACCTCTATACTGCTTCGAATAATGCTCCCTAAACCCCCGCTGTGCATGCTGGCTATGAACCCGAGAGGAGGAGATGATATGAGGAGAGAACTCGTGAGGTCGAGAAGGCCTCCTTCATTCCAGTCGTCATATCGGCCATTCGTGATGCTGGGAAAGCTGCCACAGTTTTGTACAAGCGCTTGGCTGCTCTTATCTCATACAAGAGAAATGATCAGGATTTTGCCACTATGGGGTGGACTCGCACTCGGCTGTGCTTTGCGCTGGTAAGGTCCAGCATCATGTGTTTGCGTGGTGTCAAATCCTCTAAATTCCCGCTATCTGAAGCGAGATCCGGTTGCGGTTTTCATTGCAGAGGCACGCCTGAGTCATCTGACTAGCCTAAAAAATACATTTTGAAA